GACGTGTGCTCTTCCGATCTCCCCAAAACCCCAAAACCCCAAAACCCCGTGATTCAAAAATATAAAAAAATAACAATATTTATGAAATAAATCCAATAAAAATTAGCTTGAATATAATCAATCTTTCTTTACGAGCGATAAAATGATTGGAACATTTACCTCAGTTGATAATCCTTTAGGAGGTTTTCTCTGATAATGATAATCTTTTTTGAATGTAAATTCCAACTCAGAAATAAAGATTGGGACAACTAATTTAGCTATATTCTCTGCAAAAGTTTTACCTAAGCAAATTCTTCTCCCTCCTAAAAATGGACTGAAACTAAGAGGCTTTCTCTTTGACCCATCAGGGGCAAGACTGTATTTACTTAGAGGGTCAAATCTTTCTGGAATAAATTTTGTTGGTTCTATCCATTCCTTAGGATTTCTGTGAAGCAAATGGAAATGAACAAGGATGGGTATGTCTGTGTCGATCTCAAATCCTGAAATATTCATTTTTTATCTTAATTGAAGAGGAGTTGAGGATCTTACAGGAGATTCAATCCTGAGGTTTTCCTATATTACTAGATATAGATATTGCCAACTCTCTTGCAACTAATCATATCCAAGCTTTTCAATCCATTGCTCACATGTTATGCTCATTTTCTAAAGTGGTAATTAGCCTTGATTTTTATCATTTGACATTATCTATGCTATCTCTGTCATTAGTTTTTATTTGATTTCTGGGATAAACTCTTAGTAGTACAAAAGATTCGTAATTAGAGATGCAGTTGTTTATGTGGCAGCAAGCATAAAAGTACTGATCTCATCTTTAATTAGTTTATCATCATTTTTGTAATGTTCATCACTCAGCAACAATGTGAGAAAATCTCCACTAATAAAATTAGGGTCTTTCATTTATTCCCTTCTTTCTTCAATGAACTTATTCAAGAAGTTTCTGTAGTTGTCAATGTTTCTCTCTAGTCTTTTTTCTTATTTCCCAACAAAGACTCGGTCAAATATCTAAGTGAACTATCTCAAAGGTCCAAAGAATCTTCTGACAAGCAGGGAAAATAAATTGCCTACAAATACTCCAAGAGATATTTACTCTCTACTATTTTCAGCCTCGTATTCTAAAGTTTTATTTAGCTTTGTATCACCGAATACACTTGTCAAGATGCAGTCTGTGATGTGATCATTAACAAGCTTGCTCAATTCTATTTCCTTTTTCCCGTCTTTGACATCTTGTTTCAGTATATTTACCCAATCATAGGTCTTCTTGACCAGAATCTTAAGTATTAAAGTCATCTTGTCTTTGTAAAAAGCAGATGACAGCCTCTTTCGCTTCATTGCCTGTTCCTCTGTAGTTGCTTCAAAAATTATTGATTCCCCTGTGAGTTTATGCATTGCTACCTTTAACCTACTGTATTTGTCAACAAATTTACCCTTAGTTACAAATAATTCTTGCAACATATCAGGATCACTCACAACAATTTATCCTTCAGCACTAAGAAAATCAATAAAGACTGGAGGTACATCTTATCCGATACTTTCAAAATAGTTTATGTAATATCTGTACAAAATTTGATCTGTATATTCATTAGCCCCTCTGGCAACTTCTAAAATCTTTAAGGCATTTCCAATTATAGGTAGAGGAAATCTAGTCGATGGCATTCCTTAGCTCGTATAATACCAATACTTATAATACATCTTGAAAATTTTGAACCATAAGATATATGCGAAGGCTACTAACGACGTCACTAGTAAATACATTTTCGTATTATATTGCTAAATAATTATTTAACTTTTAATCAAAATGTAAGTTTAAGCTATTTTATTAAAACTTATTTAACAATATCTCTCTTTTAAAAACTACTAATACTTACATTGCGGGGTTTTGGGGTTTTGGGG